GGTTTAAAGACTTCAAATGACTTGAAGCTCAAAGAAGACGACTTGGACTTGACTTGGACTCATGGGTCAGTGACTCGAGACTCGACTTGGACTTGACTGTATTTGACTTGGGACTTGACTAGGACTTGACCAGGACTGAGACCGGGACAAGACCAGGACCAGACTAGTTTAGTCCTGTTTTAGTCCTGGTTTAGTCCTGTTTTAGTCCTGGTTTAGTCCTGTTTTAGTCCTGTTTTAGTCCTGGTTTAGTCCTGTTTTAGTCCTGGTTTAGTCCTGGTTTAGTCCTGTTTTAGTCCTGGTTTAGTTCTGGTTTAGTCTTGGTTCAGTTGTATGCGGTGCAGAAGTCCGGCATTGCAGTTTAAGTCACATAATCGGGAAATTTCGGCCGTTATTCGTTTTTTCATTTTGGTTTTGGCGACAAATCATGAAGAAAATAGTTGTTTTTTCGTTTTCTTATTTTTGGTTTTATTTTGAAAAACAAATGACACACGGATTCTTCATCCTCCCCCATTCTGTATGGTCAAGTTTGTGCAAAGTTTATATAAAAAACATGTATTTTACTCATTAAGGGAAAATAAACCAAATAGTTTACCAAATAATAAGAGTAAGAGTCAACTTTGCATAATAATGGACGTTTAAGAAGCCACATTTATTTAGTTGAAATATTTGTTCTAAAAATGTTCTTGCCTGTAAGAATCATCTGAGCCTCTGTGTCCGGACTCTGACTGTTTTTGTGAACGTCGCGTTGAGGTGTAACGAGGCGTCGAGGTGTAACGTCGTGTGTCGAGGTGTAACGTCGTGTGTCGAGGTGTAACGAGGCGTTGAGGAGTAACGTCGTGTTTGTGTTCAGGAGTGGGGAGGACTGGCGTTCCAATCGTGTGATTCTGAACAAAGAGGTGATCGCTCCAAAAGTCCAGGAAAACTTCGTCCCTCTGCTGGAGGAAGTGGGACAGGACTTTGTGGCCAGAGTTCACAAAAAAATCAAGAGGAGCGGCCAGAACAAATGGACCACAGACCTGTCCCAGGAACTGTTCAAGTACGCGCTGGAATGTAAGAGGCCGGAGAACATGGACGGGAGAACACAGAACGTAGAACATAGAGCGTAGAACACAGAGCCTAGAACATAGAGCCTAGAACATGGAGCCTAGAACATGGACTGTAGAACACAGAGCCTAGAACATAGAGCCTAGAACATGGAGCCTAGAACATGGACTGTAGAACACAGAGCCTAGAACATAGAGCCTAGAACATGGAGCCTAGAACATGGACTGTAGAACACAGAGCCTAGAACATAGAGCCTAGAACATGGAGCCTAGAACATGGACTGTAGAACATAGAGCTTAGAACATAGACCGTAGAACATAGAGCGTAGAACACAGAGCCTAGAACATAGAGCCTAGAACATGGACTGTAGAACATAGAGCGTAGAACATAGGCCGTAGAACGTAAACTGTAGACCATAGACCATAGAACATAGGCTGTAGAATGCAGCCCATAGAACATAAACTATAGAACATAGACCGTAGATCATGGACCACAGGACATGGACCATAGAACATAGAGTGTAGAACATAGAGTGTAGAACATAGAGTGTAGAACATAGAGTGTAGAACATAGAGTGTAGAACATGGACCATAGAACATAGAGTGTAGAACATAGAGTGTAGAACATAGAGTGTAGAACATAGAGTGTAGAACATAGAGTGTAGAACATAGAGTGTAGAACATAGAGCGTAGAACATAGAGCGTAGAACATAGAGCGTAGAACATAGAGCGTAGAACATAGAGCGTAGAACATAGAGCGTAGAACATAGAGTGTAGAACATAGAGTGTAGAACATAGAGCGTAGAACATAGAGCGTAGAACATAGAGCGTAGAACATAGAGCGTAGAACATAGAGCGTAGAACATAGAGTGTAGAACATGGACCATAGAACATAGAGTGTAGAACATAGAGTGTAGAACATAGAGCGTAGAACATAGAGCGTAGAACTGAGGCTTTGAACTGAGCTCGGTGTTGGTTTAATCTGATCCCGGTTCTGTTCTGTTTTGTTCTGTTCTGTTGTGTTCCGTCAGCGGTGAGCTCGGTTCTGTACGGCGAGCGTTTGGGTTTGATGTTGGATTACATCGACCCGGACGCTCAGCACTTCATCGACTGCATCACCCTCATGTTCAAGACCACGTCCCCGATGCTGTACGTGCCCCCCGGCCTCCTCAGGAGACTCGGCTCCAGAGTGTGGAGGGACCACGTGGACGCCTGGGACGGCATCTTCAACCAAGGTCCGTCTGCTTCTGTTCTGACGCTAACTGGAGGCACTGCTCTGACTGAAGCTCTGTCACTCAAAGTACAATTTAATCTGAGTTTTGTTTGAACACGATCTGACCATAAAGAACTGACGTAACTGAACTTTGTGCTGTTAAACAAGTCGCTCTAAAGAACATTACAGTCATAAGCTAACATTAGCATTAGCACTAGCATTAGCATTAGCATGAGTCACTTTCACCTTTTAGTGTCAAATCAAACTCCTGAACAGGACCATGAACGCTCTGAACACCGGGAAATGAAAACGTGCTCTTTTAATCGATATGGGATTTTTTTTCTTGACTTTTCAGATGATCTTAAAACTTTTTGCTAATGTGTGCACTGTGTCACCTTGGTAACTGCCAAACATTCTGCCATAGAGACACATGTAGAACACTCCCAGTGTGACATCAATGCAAAGTATGCTGTTGGCTGTTGGTTGTCGGGAGGAGTTCAGTGTTTAAGTGTTGATGATGAGGATATACATGATTTTTCATATTTTAAAATGTAAAATCACAAACGTTAAAGTCGATTTTTATCCTTGAGTTGCCTCAGTTTTTGTTGTTAAGCTCCAAACATGTACATATTTATTCATTTGAATTATGGTGGATTAGAAACTTGTTTTATTAGTTCAGTCACTGACTAGAAAACCAGAACTGAAAGTAGTTAATACAATTTTTGTTTACATCCATTACATATGATGATTATTATTTTTCTTATTATTATTGTTTAAAAGTAAAATACTCTCATTTAATGTCATATTGAGAGAAACTCAAATCGCTCTGAGGCTTCAGCCTTTAGTGGCACTGAGGGGAATTGGTTGGGGGCCCCTCCAGGTTTGGGGGCCCGAGGCAGCTGCCCACTTTTGCCTAATGGTAGCACTGCCTCTGACCCTGGGACCGGAGATGGAGCCAAACAGTTTTTTGACGTCCTGTCGCCCTTTACCTGCCACGTTTTTTTTTGTTTGTTTTTTTTGTTTTGGGTTTTTTTACTTTTTAATTTGTGCTTTTTCAAAATTTTAATACATGTACATAAAAGAACAAACAGTCTGTGGGGTTCTACAAAAAAAAAAATTTAAATAAAAACCTCATACATTCGAGTGAGCTTTGGAAATAGACCATTTGGACCATCGCTTTTCAAATTTAGCAGCTTTCAGTCTCAAATAATAGTTTTTTTTTCCGTCCCATAAATTTCCTCCATTATTTCAGCAAAAACAAAACAAAATCCCGTTTGTTAATGTAGAGGAGCAGAAGACAAACAGACTGAGCTGCACTTTCTTGTTCTTGTGGTTTTACAGAAACATCACGTCTTGGTCTTTGCAGTGGAAGGTGTTTCTTGGTGAACAGTTGGAGACTTTCACTTTGGCGTTGACTTTTTAAATTCATAACCGAGGTTGAACAACGGATCGGGATTTTGTTTTGTCATCGCTCCACATACAAAATGTTCTCTGTAAACTCGGGATGATTTCTTTGTCAGACAAATGTTTCCTTTTTGGTTCTTCCTGTGGATCAATCCTGCCCATCACCTTCACCTTTCACTATTTTTTAAATTCCGTTGTGAAGAGAAACAGTTTGAACGGAGGTTTGAGTCACACACATCTGATTCACTTTTACATTTATGAAGTTCGCAAACTTCCGAAGTCCGTTTCTCGAGCCGTTTTCCGCTGTTAGAAGAGCCAACAACCACACAATTACGACGTCCGAATCCCAAAACTAAAATATGACAATATCAGAACCAGAATCAAAACTGATATGGTTCAAAAGACTTGAAAAGATCGACTTTGACAATAGACACATCCCACTGGGAAAACAAACATGGAGGTTTGATGCTCACTTTTTCGGAGGATCCTTCCCAGTATGAATTGTGCAACGACCAGAAGTCTGAGATTCTTGACACATCTATTCTGTGAATCCTCAGTGAAGAGTTTTGAACTACACGTGGATCGTTCTCTGTGGATTCTTTCACTTTTGAGGCATTTCAAAAGCTTCAATCTGGCTTCACAAATATCTGGACCTTGTATATTTCGCACTTGCTGCTCGTTGCACTTCTGGTTCGACGTTAAACCACATTCCGTTTCCTTGTTTTTATTCGTGTGTAATGACATTAAAGTTGAATCTGATGTGAACGTGAAGCTGCTGCAGTGACTCTGGTGTGTTCCTGGTTTTTCTCACAGCCGACCGCTGCATCCAGAACATCTACAGACAGCTCCGCCAGGACGCCGCTCACTCCAGCAAGTACCCCGGGGTCCTGGCCAGTCTGCTGCTGCTGGACAAACTGTCGATCGAGGACATCAAGGCCAGCGTCACCGAGCTGATGGCCGGAGGAGTGGACACGGTGAGAAAACATCTACAACAACATTACACGGACTCAAACTGTGAGGTCATGTTCTAATGTTCCTCCTCAAACACACACCTGGACTTGTGTTTGTTTCATTCTCTTTTCATTATTTATCTTTCAGTTTTCATCATTTTGGATTATTCTTCTTACAAAACATTTCAAACTCCATTTCTAAACTGAACAATAGACGTGATGAGCAGATCTGATTCTGACTGTGATTTTACAACTTAAATCATAAAACTTTTTTTTCTATTCCCATGTGGCCTTATATCTGTGTGATCCTTGGTTCAGTCCTGGTTTAGTCCTGGTTTAGTCTGGTTTAGTCCTGGTTTAGTCCTGGTTTAGTCCTGGTTTATTCCTGGTTTAGATCTGGTTTAAACCTGGTTCAGACCTGGTTCAGTCCTGGTTTAGTCCTGGTTTAGTCCTGGTTTAGTCCTGGTTTAGTCCTGGATTAGTCCTGGTTTAGTCCTGGTTTAGACCTGGTTTAGTCCTGGTTTAGTCCTGGTTTAGACCTCCTGGTTTCCTGGTTTAGTCCTGGTTTAGTCCTGGTTTAGTCCTGGTTTAGTCCTGGTTTAGACCTGGTTTTAGTCCTGGTTTAGTCCTGGTTTAGTCCTGGTTTAGTCCTTTAGACCTGGTTTAGTCCTGGTTTAGTCCTGGTTTAGTCCTGGTTTAGACCTGTTTAGTCCTGGTTTAGTCCTGGTTTAGTCCTGGTTTAGAGTCCTGGTTTAGTCCTGGTTTAGTCCTGGTTTAGACCTGGTTTAGTCCTGGTTTAGGTCCTGGTTTTAGTCCTGGTCCTGGTTTAGACCTGGTTTAGTCCTGGTTTAGACCTGGTTTAGTCCTGGTTTAGTCCTGGTTTAGTCCTGGTTTAGACCTGGTTTAGTCCTGGTTTAGACCTGGTTTAGTCCTGGTTTAGACCTGGTTTAGTCCTGGTTAGACCTGGTTTCCTGGTTTAGACCTGGTTTAGTCCTGCTGTTTAGGGTTTAGTCCTGGTTTAGTCCTGGTTTAGTCCTGGTTTAGTCCCTGGTTTGGGTGTATTCTAGTCTTTGTGTCTTATACTTGTTCTGATCCAACTCCAGATCGTTCTAAACATGTTCAGGAAACGTTCTAAAGGTTCTAAAGGTTCTGCTCTGTTCTGTCAGTGGGATTTTTTTAGGATCCAGACTAGTTTTAGTATCGATTAGGATCTGGTTTTGGATCCTTTTGGCTGCCCTCTTCTGGACTCACAGGAAAACCATGTAAACTTAATTTTTCTGTTGTCTCTGTGTCTCTGATGTCTCGCTCATGTCTCTCTCATGTCTCTCTCATGTCTCTCTCATGTCTCTCTCATGTCTCGCTCATGTCTCTCTCATGTCTCTCGTCTCTCTCATGTCTCTCTCATGTCTCGTCTCGCTCGTCGTCTCTCTCTCTCATGTCTCTCTCATGTCTCTCTCATGTCTCGTCTCGTGTCTCTCTCATGTCTCGCTCATGTCTCTCTCATGTCTCTCTCATGTCTCTCTCATGTCTCTCTCATGTCTCTCCTCATGTCTCTCTCATGTCTCTCTCATGTCTCTCTCATGTCTCTCTCATGTCTCTCTCATGTCTCTCTCATGTCTCTCATGTCTCGCTCATGTCTCTCTCATGTCTCTCTCATGTCTCATGTCTCTCATGGTCTCGTCTCGTCTCTCATGTCTCTCTCATGTCTCTCTCATGTCTCTCTCGTCTCGCTCGTGTGTGTTTCGCTGTTGTCTCGCGCAGACGTCCATCACTCTTCTGTGGACGCTGTACGAGTTGGCGCGTCACCCAAACCTCCAGGAGGAGCTGAGGGAGGAGGTGGTCAAGGCCCGAGCGGAGAGCCGGGGAAACATGCAGGAAATGCTCAAGCACATTCCCCTGGTGAAAGGAGCGCTGAAAGAGACGCTGAGGTAAACGGGACTCAGACACACCACCTCCGCAGACACAGACGCAAATATTCACAAACATAACTGAAGTGAGCACGGCCGCACGTCCAGCTCCACGGACTCTGGCTCCAGTTCAGTTTGTGTGTAAAAGTGTGTCCTCTCTCTCTGTACCTGCTGCTGTCAGGCTCCTCACTCCTGATCCTACATGATCCTGGCGTTTGGACTTCAACATTTTGTCCGTAAATTAAGATGTGAACAATAATAACGTCACACTCAGCACACTTCTGTTACAGACGGTGACAGACGGTCACTGCAGTTTTAGTTTTGTTTCAGTGTCCGTCTCCTGCGTTTGGGAAGTTCATTTCTCATTCATTTTTCTCTCAGACTTTCCGAAACAAATAAATATTAAAAGTGTGAAAGTTACAGGCTGATCCGCTCCGTGCAAATGAATGACCACAAGACAAATGAGTTTATTTCAAATCTGAAACGTTATTATAAATGATGAAGAGTCGATTTGACGGTGTTACTAAAAAGTGAACTTTTAAAAATATTATTTATTCATTTCAGTCACAGGTATATTGTGACTTTAATTCACAGACAGTCATATTTAACATATACAGACCGAAAAGGTGCAGGCTGAAGCTTGAGCTTATTCTGCCCTTTACCCTTTATTCCTTTGTCAGAGCTTCATCTTGACACCAGTTCATCTTCATAAAAACAGCGAGAGGAAACAAACAAATCAGTAACAGAACAACAAAGTTCTACAGCACAAACTTAGTCTCATATTTCATGTTTCTGTCCAGAGTTAAACATTTAAACTTCTTTATGAAGTGAAAGAGATTGGTGCACAATTTGAGGTTTTCCAAAGCTCCAGCCCTTTAACAGATTTACAAAATTTCATAATGTTTGTTCTGATTTTCTTTTTGATAAACTTGGTTGTGCCTCTGAGCTCGTATCGGCTCTTTTGGATTTTGAACATGTTCTTATAACTTATAATACAACAAAAGAATAATGGAAAAAGATTGTTACATATTGTTATTCTTTTATTAAAATACCATTTTAAATAATAATGAACATTTTAGTTCACCGTTAGAGAAATGGAGTTTCTGAGTTTGTTTTAGAGAAGAGTGTAAACGGTATGGGGGGGGGGGCGGCTCTTCAGTTTGTGACAGATTCTGTTCATGGGCTTCAGTTTCCTGTTATAAACAACAACACTGGACTTTTCAGAAATATAAATATAAACTTTTACATTTTGAATCACTATGGCAGCCGTCCTAATCTGTCTCCGTGTGAAACGTTCAGGTTACACCCTGTGGCCGTGAGTCTGCAGAGATACATCGCCGAGGACATCGTCATCCAGAACTACCACATCCCGGCCGGGGTAAGTGCCCCAGTCCGGGGTAAAAAAAAACAACCCGGGGTAAATAAAAGCAGCCTGGGGTAAATAAACCATATTATTATATCATATTGTTTTATTTTGACATGTCTCTGTTTTCCGTCGTCTTGTTCTATGTTTTATTTTAAATAAAAAGAAACAGAAAACGCACACCAAGATTCCTGCAGAGGTGCAAATGCAAGGAGTAGCCAGATCAGGGTGAAAAAATGCATAGCACACTCGGTTGGCCGATGTCCAAATACTTTTTTATTAACAAAATAACGTTTTGGCAAAAAAAGCCTTCATCAGATATTTTTCTTGTCTTGGACCACAGCACACAAAATGGTTGCCAGCCCAGGTGCCCATATACCCCCTCAATGAATGGGAGGTCCCAAAGTGAGGTCACCCAGTGAGTTCAGCCCATTCTGTTTTGTTAATAAAATAGTATTTGGACATCAGCCAACCGAGTGTGCTATGCATTTTTTCACCCTGATCTATGTTTTATTTTGACATGTCTCTGTGTTCTGTCTTGTTTTATTTTGACATGTCTCTGTGTTCTGTCTTGTTTTATTTTGACATGTCTCTGTGTTTCGTCGTCTTGTCTTTTGTCTCTCGTCGTGGTCGTCGTGGTCGTCGTGCGTCCAGACCCTGGTCCAGCTCGGACTCTTCGCCATGGGCAGGGACCCGGGCGTGTTCTTGCGGCCGGAGCAGTACCTGCCGTCCCGTTGGCTCCGCACTGAGACTCAGTACTTCAGGAGTCTGGGCTTCGGCTTCGGGCCTCGTCAGTGTTTGGGACGAAGGATCGCAGAGACGGAAATGCAGATCTTCCTCATCCACGTGAGTCCAGCAGACACGGACATGACGACAACAGAGACGTTTGAACGGGAAAAATATCTCTGTGAAGTATTCTGTTGAGTCATATAAATATACAAAAGATAAATATAGAAAAGATAAATAAATAAGATAAAAAGGCCCTGCAGCAAAACCCACCATTAATACCAATAACAACATTTAGTTTTTTATAGTTTTCTCTGCAGAGGATTGTGTCGTTTCACCCACACATGAATCACAGGAGACTGACTTGATGCACATTCGTTCTGTCAACACAGGTCAGTTAAAACAACTGTATTCAATCTACAGTTAATACTTCACATCTGAAGTTGTCAACATCACTGTTGGGCAAGTAACTTTAAAAACGTAATGCGTTATTTATGACGTATTACTGTCATTTTAAAGTAATTCATTACATTACAATATTACTGCATTTAAAATGTAAGATATTACATTACTATTGCATTACTTTAAGTTACTCTTAACAAAATAACTGTGAAGATGCTGAACTTTTGCACCATATATGTACTGAACCAGGACTAAACCAGGTCTAAACCAGGTCTAAACCAGGACTAAACCAGGTCTAAACCAGGTCTAAACCAGGTCTAAACCAGGACTAAACCAGGTCTAAACCAGGACTAAACAGAGCTGAACCAGGACTGAACCACCACTGACTGATTCCAGGACTGAAGAGGAGAACTAAACAAGGTCTGAACTAGGACTAAAACAGGACTAAACCAGAACTAAACCAGAACAAAACCAGGACTAAACCAGAACTGAACTAGGACTAAAACAGGACTCACTGTCCGGACGGACTCGAAGGTGACAGCAGGAGAAAGGAGCGGCTGTGCTCCGCACTTCACGGAGGTAAGAGCGGCTGTTGCCCGATCGCTCTTTATCCGGGCTCGGCCCTGATTTCAGCAACTATTTGCGGGGACCCGACCCGGTGCAAGACTCTGCTACAGCGCATAACTTCTACCTTCTTTCAGCGTGTCCAGAAGTCCAACTTTTTGTGCGATGGTGAGCATCTTCCTCTGCCTTTTGGGTGCGAGCGCAGGAGCCTTTGTCAGTGCAGAACGTTTTGTCGACGTTGTGGGTTTTGTCGGGGAGAAAACTTGCAGACATACAGCACTTCGAACGACTGTAAACCAGGTCTAAACCAGAACTGACCCAGGTCTAAACCAGGTCTAAACAGCGTAGAGTTCTGTGTCGGTCCTTTCGCCCGCGGTTACCTGAAGGTCTACGCGACCACGTCTCTGGCGTTTCACCGCTGCTGATATCGCAGTGATTTTAGTGAATTTGTATGAAGAAAAACCCACCACTTCAATCCAGATTAAAAAAGCTTTGTAACGCGCGTTACTCACTTTTGTACTGAGTAAAATATTACTATTTTTTCCCCTGTAATGCCTTACATCACTGCGTTACAGCAAAAAGCAACGCATTACTGTAATTCATTACTTTTATAACGCGTTACTCCCAACACTGGTCAACATTCCCTGGGAGTGTGAAGCTAACTGTAAGCACTGTTCTGTCTGAAGCTCTGTGACTCATGTTAGATTTAGGGAGACCAAACGTCTATTTTTCCCTGGACATGTGCGTTTTTCACGTCATGTCCTGGGCGTCTGGGTTTTTTTTCGTAAATTGGTGTAAATGTCAGGGTTTTCATTACCGTTTCATTATCATTGGGGCCATTAAATTGAGCGTCTTTCGTAGCATCTGTGCCTCAGAAGGAGCGAGACACAAGTTGACTGAGGTTACGTTTATATGATGACGTCTGAACAGAAAACACAGAAGTGGCGTCGCGTCTTTACTTTTTATTCTGCGTTTAGACAAGTGTTTTCAGGAGAAAATCTGCTGCAGACGGGGACGTAAAAGTGTGTGGCATTGGATTGTGTGTGCATGTCAGGCAGCTCGGTGGTGATGTTTGTGATGTAAACACGTACATGAGTTTTGCGTCTTGGGCAGTGTAGACAGAAACACTACGGCGGAGCATATTCAACTGTTTCAGTCTGGAGGGTGGGTTCAGAGTTTTGAGTTTTTAAGCCCCATAAATGCCGTCACCGTCTAAACAAAAGACTCATCAAATATTTTGTCATTTTTTACCCACAAGTGTTCTCATGTAAACTAGAGTGACCAAACTTCTGTTTTTCGATGGACATGTCAGTTTTTTGCGTCATGTCCTGGGCGTCCAGTTTTTTTTCATAAAGTGATGTAAATGTCCGGGTTTTCATTTCTGTTCATTGGGACATTAAACTGAGCGTCTCTCTTAGCGTCTGTGACTCAGAAGGAGCGAGACACAAACAGTCGGTCAGTCTGCAACATGCTGAAGTGCAAATGTACATTTAACAATGACTTGGACAAGAAGTTCTCTGTTTTCCTTCCTGGTCGAGACAAGTGTGATCCATGTGCACAGGTTGTGAGGTGAGAGTAGCTCAGTGTCGAGGCTCCACCCCCCTGTAAGCTGTCTGGGTTTTCACAAACGGAAATACGGTCACTCTACGTTAGACTGAGGCTACGTTTATATGATGACGTCTGAACAGAAATCGCAAAAGTGGCATCGCATCTTCAGTTTTTATTCCACGTTTAGACGAGTGTTTTCAGGAGGAAATCTGCTGCATACAGTGACGCAAAAGTGTGTCAATTTGGATTGTGTGTGCATGTCAGGTGGCTCGGGGGTGATGTATGTGACGTAAACGTGTGCGCGACCAGAGTTTTGCGTCTTGGTCAGTGTAAACGGAAACGCTACAGCGGAGCGTCTTCAACTTTTCCACTCTGGCCCAAAACCGCCGTCACCGTCTAAACGAAAGACACTTCCCATAAAATATTTTTCTCGTTTTTACCCGCAAGTGTTCTCGTGTAAACAGACCCTCAACCTGAGTTTTTTTTTTTTCCAGACTGAAAACATTTTTATCAGTTTTTGCCAATATATACATTGTGTCGCCATGGTAACTCCTAAACATTCCGCCAGTAGAAATACAGGTAGAACACCCCAAAGTATCAACAACCTTCCATTGTGTTTCTTAGATAGACAGGTAGATAGGTAGACAGGTATGTAATTCTTTATTGATCCTTAAGAGGAAATTCTTGTTTTTTCTTTCAGATGTTGGAGAACTTCAAAGTGGAGAAGCAGCGCCACCTGGAGGCACAGAGCACGTTTGAGCTCATCCTCGTACCAGACAAACCCATTATCTTCACCCTGAAGCCCCTACACCACAGCCAACGTGTGTGACCAGAACCTGAACCCTAAATCCAAACCCTGAACCTGAACCCAGAACCTACACCACAGCCAACGTGTGTGACCAGAACCCAACCCAAACCCTGAACCTGAACCCAGAACCTAACCCAAGCCAACGTGAGAACCCAAACCCTGAACCTGAACCCAGAACCTACACCCAGTGTGTGACCACCAAACCTGAACTAAACCCAAACCTGAACCCTGAACCCAGTGTGTCTGCATGTGTCTGACACTAATTTTATCTCTACTATTCAAACTATATGTTGATACAGTATATATATATATATATGTGTGTGTGTGTCAGGGTGTGTGTGTGTGTGCGTGTGTGTGTGTGTGTGCGTGCCTGAGAACTTCTTTTTGACGTATACGACTCAGGAGGAATTTACACATAGAACTTAGGAAACCAGCCCATATTTAAAAAGTACCTCATTTAACTGCGACTGTTCCACTGTGACCTGATGTAAAATAAAACGCCTTTTTAACGACGAACGACACGACCCGATGTTTCTCATTTATTGTTCCTCGTTTTGGTTTGTTGGTAAATTATGAAAGAGGAAAGAGTTTTCAGAATTATTTGGCATTTATTATTTCTCTGACGTAATATTTCCTCTTCCTTGATACTGATAATTAAACTGTCACTTGTAAATGTTTATACTTTAAAGTTCAGTCCTGGAGTTTCTGAACTAAAGGACTTGAACACTTCATGACATCACAGGGTGGAGACTCAGAATAAAGAGGAAATCACATGAGTCCAGGTGTTTTCTTCTGTTCTTTGGTCTTTGAATAAATCC